AGGTCCCTCAGAGAAAACAATCAAGGTAAAGAGATATATTTCAGGGTGGCCAAATCTTGATCTCCCACACTGTGCAGGAGTGGCTGGTGAGGGCAGACTTGGAGAACCGTGTCTGACTCCCCATCTCTGCATGGAGGACCAATACCAGAAGCAGATTTGTGACAGTGAGGGATGAATTCTCCCTTTTTGGGTGCAAGGCCACCTAGAATAAAGGCTACATTTCCCAGCCTTCCTTGTGGAGGGTCATCCTGGCCAATGATATGTGAGCAGGTCAGTCATGCAGCAGCTTCCTGCGCTTTTGCTAAAAGAGAGCTATCCTTGTACCTATTTCTCGTACCACCTTCATCCCTTTCTCCATCCACTGCCTGGAGTCCGAATGACTCTGTGGATCATGGAGGAGGAGGGCCACACCCGGGGGGAATTTGGAAGGAACCTGCGCCCTTAAGGACTTTGGGGCGCAGTGCTGCCCCACCAGCGCTGAACAGCCCACCGCCCTCCTCCTTTTATGTGAGAGAGAAATAAGCTTTACTCTTATTTAAGCCACTGTTTAGTATTTTTGCTGTTACAGCCGAACCTACTCTTAAATAATTATAGAGCCAAAGGAGGAGGTAAGGCCTGACAGAGAAGCAGGTCCCAGTTGGTGATAAAACCTCAGAGGCTGAGGGCCAGGGGAGAGGAGAGAGGAGCTGGGCGGCCAGTGAACCAAAGGTTGTCGGGTCTGGAGGGTTTTCCAGCCTGGGGAAGAGTTTGAAGGGTCAGAAGTGTGCGGCTAAGGCGGGGGGAGGAGGACTGTGCAGGGGACTAGGAGGAGCAACAGGAAGAATCACCCAGGCCCACCACCCCCCACCCCTCACCTTCCCACTCAGGCTGAGCTGGGGGCAGGAAATTTCACCGCTAAGCCATTTTGGAGTTTTCATTTCTACCCAGGACTGGACATTCTCATTACAGATCTCAGTCCGGATTGGCCACTTAAGCGATCACAAGCCCTAGAAGAGATCAGAGAGAGCAGCTGAGGCATGGGACCCACCAGAGATCTCATCGCCTTGGGGCAGAGAAGATCTGCACCCTCCACAACCCTCCCCCAACTTCATTCATTCATCCACCCCACAAATGTTTACTGAGCATCTGCTACAGGCCAGGAACCGCTCTAGGTGTGGGGACAGGACAGTGAATAATACAGCACCAAAGTCCCTGCCCTTGAGGAGCTTACAGGCTAATGGAGGAGACAGATGCTACACAGGATAAATAAGACAAATATGAAGTATGTTACGTAGTGGTCAGTGCAAAGGAAACAAAGCTGAGAGAGGGGATAGGAAGTAGGGGGTTAAATTCCACTTAGGGGGCCAGCCCCGTGGCTTAGCAGTTAAGTGCGCACACTCTGCTACTGGCAGTCCAGGTTCAGATCCCGGGCGCACACCGACGAACGGCTTCTCCGGCCATGCTGAGGCCGCGTCCCACATACAGCAACTAGAAGGATGTGCAACTATGACATACAACTATCTACTGGGGCTTTGGGGAGAAAAGGGGGGAAAAAAAGGAGGAGGATTGGCAATAGATGTTAGCTCAGAGCAGGTCTTCCTCAGCAAAAAGAGAAGGATTAGCATGGATCTTGGCTCAGGGCTGATCTTCCTCACAAAAAAATAAAATAAAATAAATAAATAAATTCCACTTAGGGCAGCTAGGGAAGGCCTCACTAAAAGGCCACATTTATGTCAAGACTTTTGGAAATGTTCAAGGGGCGCAGGGGAGAGAAAACAAAGCCGTGTGTTGACAATGTTGCTGCTATTAACTGACGGGTACAAACATGTATGTGCCTTATATGTGCATATGTGCATCTGTGCGACAGGCACGGAAAAGTGGTTCCACAGCCTGACGGGCCAGGCGAGGTGTCTGGGACAGAGATTGAATATGGATCAGCGTGGGACAGGCCTCTGAGCCCAGCCCCAGATCTCAAGTATGGCCAAGGATAGGACCACGTGCCGCCAGCTCTGGGCAGCATCAGCAACACCTGCTCCCAGGCTGGACGGCACTATCTGGGAGGAAGGATGGGCCCCGGAGATTGCAGAGTCTCTTGTGTCTGGCCTTGTGGTATCAGGGGCTGGGGACAGTGCAGGGTGACCATGGCTCTCCACCTCCTGCCCCACCCTCGCCCACCACCTCTGCCACATTCCACTCCCCACAGGCAGATGGATCTGACTGGGTTTTTCCATGCTAGGGAAAACCTGACCCAGCCTGACCCAGCAGGGGCCATGGGGGCAGGGCAGGGACCATTCCTGGACAGTCAGGGGAGACGAGGTGTGTCCCCGAGCCCCCATGGCTGGGAGCAGGGGTCGGGGTCGGAGAGCAGCTTTGCCAGGAGCAGGCAGAAGTTGGGGATGGGGAGGTTGGCAGCACCCCCACCCCACATCCTGTTTTTGGAATGTGAGGTACCAGCATGTGCTTTCCTTTGGACTTCGTCCAGAGCATGTCTCCCCACCCAGGCCCACTCCCAAGGGAACCCTGTGCGAGGGTGGGGAGGGCTCCCCGGCACACCCAAGCATTAACCCAGGGTTTTTCCAGGCTGGGCCGGGCCCCTGAGCCAGTGTGGGGGAAGGGCACATTTTCCGCCCCTTGCTGAAATCGGGGCAGGGGGTCCCCATCAGCACATGGAAAACCACACAGGCCCTCATGGCTGAAGGGGCAAGGAAATGCCACCAAGGAGGCGAGTCCTGGCGAGGCATAGCCCACCTCCAGTGCCTGCACCCACCAGCCCCACACAAAGCCCTGGGGATTGTCAGGCCCTGGGATACCACCTGGGAAGGCCAGCCAGGCTGAAGGGGGGACAGTTCCATGATGGGCTTAAGAGCACAGGCTCCGAACCGGTCAGGTCAGGCATGAGGCTGGCACCTGCTGTTTACCTGCTGCGTGACTGTGGGCAGGTGGCTTAGACCCTCTGAGTCTCAGCTTCTCTCCTGCCCGGGTTGTCAAGAGGAATTTTTTTTTTTTTAAGATTTTATTTATTTATTTTTTTCCCCCCAAAGCCCCAGTAGATAGTTGTATGTCATAGCTGCACATCCTTCTAGTTGCTGTATGTGGGACACGGCCTCAGCATGGCTGGAGAAGCGGAGCGTCGGTGCGCGCCTGGGATCCGAACCCAGGCCGCCAGCAGCGGAGCGTGCGCACTTAACCGCTAAGCCACGGGGCCGGCCCTGTCAAGAGGATTAAATGAGCTAATTCGTGTGATGGGCTCAGCACAGGGCCCGGCCCAGAGCAGATGCCCGTGAGAGAGGGAATGGTGTGTGGGCTGGGCAGACTCCTAGAAAGGCAGAGGGGACAAACAAACCACCTCAACCTGGGAACGTCCCCTCCCTGGCCACTCAGGTCACCATCCATCCTCCTAACCCTTCTCCCCTATGGGACAGCTTCTCCTGCCACCTAGAGCAGTAGGAGGTGACTCAATTTAGAGCCTTATGGGGGAAGAGAAGGCTTTCTCTCTATTGTTCACATTATAAAATAACATGCTCATTATAGTAAATCTGGACATCACAGAAAAGCAGGAAGGAAGCAAAAGCTGTTATTTAACTACAAAAGCCAACCACTCTGGATACCTTCATGTTTTTCCATATGGGGTTTTTTCCGGGCACGGGTTATTTGTTCTCTGTAACGTGGTTGGGACCTTAGCATTAGGATGGAGAGCTGAAGGAGACATGGGGTCAGCTGGCCCAGCCTCCTCAGTTGACAATCCAGGAGACTCTGGCCCAGAAGAGCTCAGTGACTTATCCAAGGTCAGAGGTGGCAGAGCTGGCACCAGATCTATTAGGTGTCTGCTGCCTCTTAAAATACCAGTGCCCCCAACACCTGCACCAATCCTCCCTCTGGCCCTGAACACGGCCTTCAAAGGGGACGGTTGATAGTGGATCTAAGCCTTCCAGTGTGGAGGGACAGGCTTCCATGAGCCCCCTGGTTCCCTCAGTAAGGGGTGCAGCTCTGGACGACGCCCTCCTCCATTTCCAGATGGAGACAGCTGTGGGATGGGGGTGGGGTGGGGATAGCGGTGGGTGAGGGATGGAAAGGGAGGGCTAGCAGAGCCCAGAAAGGGGTGTGCCCTGTGTCTGTTCCCAAGGGTGGAGCCAGCCAACAGGGTCACCCTGTCCCTTTAAGAGAAGGGGGAGAGCTAGCCCCTCTCAGCCATCCTGTCCTGTCATCATCCCAGCCAAATCCGAAAGGGAAAATGAAAGAGGGACCAGGAGGAACAGGTCCCAGCCATCTCCCAAGGTTCCTCGCTCAGCTCTAACACTCCAGCTCCAGCCACAAGGTAAGTGGGGTCGGGTGAGGGTCTGGGGGCCTCAGGGGCCCATGGGACCTATGTGAGTGTGTGTGTGTTGGGGGAAGCTCTGAGCAGATGCGGGAGGCTGGAAGCAGAGAGGCGCCCCAGAGGAGATGGGAGAGGGCTGGGCCCACATCCCACCACCTTGGGGTCGGAGTGGCAGGGGACACCTAGGACAAGGGATCCTGAAAGACTTATGGAAGTGGAGGCTCCCTTTGTGTCAGTCCCCCAATTCTGAGAGGAGTTCACTGCAGTAAAAAGGGTAAGAAAAATGGTAGGCAGAGAAAGAAGGAGGTGAGGTCCCTCTGGGTCTGCTGGCTCCCACCTCTCCCAGGGATACCAAATTGGGTCTGGAGTCCTGGGTTCGAGCCACCTTTCTTGCCTGTGGAGAGCATCCTTGAGCACATAAGGGCACCGCTGGCTTCTTGCTTGACAAATGCAGTCAGGGGCTGGCCCTGCTGATCTCCAAGGTCCCTTCCTACGAATCTGGACTCTGGAAGAGCATAGAGGCCAACCAAGGAGGGCCATGGGTGTCTGGCCACAGCACCAGGGTGGGGCTCCTCCCCAGCACCCACCGGCCCCAAGAAGAAGGGCACCCATAGTTGAGAATCACCTAACTCCTCCCGCCCCTGCCCCTTTGCTAATTCATTTGTTCCCACAAAATTCCTGCTAAACCCAGGCCTAGCTGACCCCCTGACTCACCCCGAAGTTAGAGAAAGTCTAATTGACCGCACCCCGATGAGCGTGGAGGAGTGGAGGGCCCTGATCCGGCCAGGCCTCTGACTGCCGCCTTGCGTCCCCAGCGCCATGGGGGAGTGGACGGTCCTCGGCTCGCTGCTGGACCCCGTGCAGCTGCAGTTGCCGCTCGTGGGCCGCCTGTGGCTGGTGGTCATGCTGATCTTCCGCATCCTGGTGCTGGCCACGGTGGGCGAAGCCGTGTTCGAGGACGAGCAGCAGGAGTTCGTGTGCAACACGCTGCAGCCGGGCTGTCGCCAGACCTGCTACGACCGTGCCTTTCCGGTCTCCCACTACCGCTTCTGGGTCTTCCACATCCTGCTGCTCTCGGCGCCCCCGGTGCTGTTCATCATCTACTCCATGCACCAGGCCAGCAAGGAGCAGGCCGGCGCGGACGCCGAGGCCGGGCTGCCGTGTGCCCGGGGCCGCCCCGAGGGCCCGTGCGCGCCCTGCGCCCTGCGCGCCCACCGCGCGCGCCGCTGCTACCTGCTCAACGTGGCGCTGCGCCTGCTGGCCGAGCTGGCCTTCCTGGGCGGCCAGACGCTGCTCTACGGCTTCCGCGTGGCCCCGCGCTTCGCGTGCGCCGGCCCGCCGTGCCCGCACACGGTGGACTGCTTCGTGAGCCGGCCCACCGAGAAGACCGTCTTCGTGGTCTTCTACTTCGCCGTGGGGCTGCTCTCGGCGCTGCTCAGCCTGGCGGAGCTGGGCTACCTGCTCTGCAAGGGCCGCCCGCGCGCCGGGCGCTCTCGCCAGGCGGCCCAGCGCGACAACCGCTGCAACCGCGCGCACGAGGAGGCGCAGAAGCTGCTCCCGCCGCCGGGGCCGCCGCCAGCCCTGCCCTCCCGGCGCCCGGGCCCCGACCCCTACGCCCCGCCCGCCTATGCCCACCGGGCCGGCGACAGCGAGGGCGGCAGCGGCCGCAGCAAGGCGTCACTGGCCACTGTCCGCCAGGACCTGGCCATCTAGAAGCGGCCACTGCCTCGGGCGGAGGGTGAGGTCAGAGGCCAGACGCTGCCACCCTGGGCCTCACCGCAGAAGCGAGAAGTGGCTTCCGCAAGAACTGCTCGCAGGACTCGGCGTGAGCAGGAGACACGCGGGGGACATGGCCCGCAGGGCGCATCCACGTCCCTGGTGCTCCCGGCTAAGCCGGGTCAGAGAATGAACTAAGGCAGCTCCTCGATGCTCTGATCCAGGTGGAAAGGAAGGAGGCCAGGGGGGCTGAGAGAAAGTGAATGAGCCGAGGGCAGAGCAGAGTGGAAGGTGGAGGAGGTTCAGATGGTGACCTGGTTGTTTCACTGGGGACAAAAACAACTGTGATGCTATCCTCTGTGTGGGCTCTCCGTGCCTGTGTGCACATGTACACACATATGTGGTGTGAGCTGTGTGTGCACGTGCACATGTAAGACCTGTGTGAGCCCTTTGAGTGTGTGCATGCGTGTATGAACATGTACATCACGTGTGGGCTCTCTGTGTGCGCACACCTGTACATCCTGTGTGGGCTCTGCGCATGCACATCTGTGCACATGTCCATCCTGTGTGGGCTCTGTGTGCGCATGTGTATACCCCCTGTGAGTTGTGAGTATGTGCATGCACATGTACGCACTGTGTGAGCTGTGTCTATGTGTGATTTCTGATATGATGCTCTGTGTGGGTGGCCAGGACCCAGTGCCAGCAGTAGCCACAGTGGCTCCCTCCCTACCTGCAGGGGCATCACAGGAAAGTCTCCTGGGGGGGGTGGCGGGCAGGCCTCAGTCTGGTAGGCTTGTAGGCACCGCCCACACTCTGGACCTTGTGGCCTGGGCAGGGAGGTGGGCCCTCCCTTACATGGAGGTAGAGTTGGGGCCAGGGGTGGGGTCGGAGGGCAGGACTGTTTTCTAGCTTCACCCTCCTCACCCTGCTACTGTTCCCCCCAGTCTATAAACATGGTTAAGTCTCTTCCATCCTTAGAAGAAACCTCCCCCACAACGTGCTCCTGCAGCCACCACCCACTGCCCTCCTGGAGGGGCCGGGGGTTGGGGAGACAAGGAGCTGTCTACATGGCTGCCTCCTGGCTCCCTCGTCCTGTCTCTCCTCTGCCCCCATGTGGTTTCCTCCCTTACTGCCCCAGTGAGGCGGCTTACCATAAGATCACCAGGACCTAAGTGACAACACAGGGGCCACCATCTGACTGCACCCCTGGGGCTTTGTCTGACTCTGCTGAGCAGGCTGGCATGATTCACTCTGCCCAGTTTTCTGCTATGTCCCCAGCCCTTCCCTCTCTGTCCTCCTTTCCTGCCCTCCTCTTCCTCAGCTCTTCTGCCTATACTCCACAGGAGTACGGCCTGTACTCCTCCACGGCAGCCGGAGGGGTCTTTCTAAATAGCCCCCCTACTTACGCCCTTGGGTGTCCCGTCCTTAGGGTAAGTCCAGCACCTGAACGAGGCTTCTGAAGTCCTGCCCCATCCGGCCCGGCTTCGCAGGGCTCCAGCCCCATCACATCCGCTTCCCCCTGGCTTTTGTGCTCCAAACCATACCGAATGTTCTCTTCCTACCAAGCACAGTGGCCAATTTTGCTTCCAAGTGTTTAAATAAGCTGTTCCTTTGCCTGGAGCAGCCTCCCTCTCTGCAGCCCCACTCTCCCCTAGCTAACACCTACCTGCCTTTTGGTCTCACGTGGGAAGAAAATAGATGCTTTCCCTGACACCCTCCACCCCCAAGTCAGTGAATTCTGTGTCCACAGCCTGGACCCCTCCACGCAAACTCAGACGTAGATGTCCAGCTGTTGTCCAGACATATTCATTCAATAAATATTTGTTGTGCACGTGCTAGGGGCCAGGCAATGTTCGAGATCAGCACTAGTTCAGTAGAAATAGGATGTGAGCCACATGTAAGTTCAAGTTTTCCATCAGCCACATTAAAAAGTAAAAGGAAACAAGTGAAATTCATTTTAATAACATTTTTTAACCCAATATATCCAAAGTACTATTTCAACATTATAAAAAAGTATTAAGGAGATATTTTACATTCTTTGTTTTGTACTGTCTTTGAAATCTGGTATGTATTTTACACTTGGAGCACATCTCAATTTGGACCAGCCACATTTCTAAGACTCACTAGCCACGTGTGGTTAGTGGCTGCTGTATTGAACAGAGCAGATCTAGATATTGGGCTACAGTGGTGAACAAAACCTGCCTTACATTCTAGTGGGGAAGGCAGAAAATAAATGTAGAATGAGTTGCCAGATAGCGGTAAGAGGAAGGGGAGAGAGAGTGACATCCCTGGGGAGGGACACTGGAACAGAATGTAGCCATGAAGCTGTCTCCAGGAAGAGCATTCCAGGTGGAGGGAATGGCAAGTGCAAAGGCCCTGAGGCAGGAATAAGCTGGAGGTATTTGAGGCCAGCCAGGAGGCCAGTGTGGCCTGAGTGGCATGAGGGACGAGGTGGGAGTAGGGGATCACCAGCACCTCAAACGCAACCCCACCTTCCTTAGTTCTCCTCTCAGTTGCTGGTGTCTCCATCCACCCAGGTCACCTCCACCCGCTGTTGCCATAGCCCGTCCTCTGTCCACCTTCCACATCGCCCAATCACCTAGTCCTCCTGTTTTACCACCTTAGCATTTCCTCCCCCACTCTTCTCCACCCTTCAGAGGCTGCCCAGGGTAGCCCCGTCCTCAATGGCCTGGAGTACTCCCATAGCCTCTGCTCCAGCTCCCCCCCCCCCCCCCTAGTTCCAATCTGAACACCTCACTTGCTGGCTTGAAGTCCTTCACTCCCATCACCCTCGGGATCAATTCCAGCTCCTGAACGGGCCTGACCTGAGCCCGTCCTGGCCTCTACAGCCTCCCCTCTTCCACCATTCCAACCAAAAACTGAAATGGTTGAAACACAGAGCTGGTGACAGTTTCTGGTCACAAGAAGCTATTTATCCCCTCTGCGTCCCACCTGGCTGACTCTTCCCCTGAGAGATTTAGCTGAGAGGAGGTACCTCTTCCAGGACGGCCTCCAAGCCCTGCCCCAAGCCTGGTTAAATGCCTCTGCTCTGCGCCCCCATAGGCCTGAGGCAGACCCTGTCATTGCCCTCCCCAGGTCATATGCATCACCATCCTTGGAGAAGGATGGGGCCTGGGGCCGTGCGAAGCACACGTCAGCCCTTGGTGACCAAACTCCACAGCAGTGGTTCCCAACCAGGGGCAGTTTCGCCCCCCAGGGGACATTTGGCAATGTCTGCAGACATATTTGGTTGTCACAGCTGGAGAGGAGGTGCAACTAACATCCAGTGGGCAGAGGCCAGGGAGGCTGCTAAACATCCTACAATGCACAGGATGGCCCCACAACAAAGAATTCCCGAGCCCAAAATGTCACCTGTGCCGTGGTTGCGAAACTCTGCTCTACAGCCATGAACTGTGAACCACTGAGGGCAGCCTCAAGGCCCAGAGGGTCCCAGCAACAAAGGTACTACTCCAGGGGGCACTTCATAAATGTAGGGGCCGCCACTTTAGTTGTCACGACGAGGAGGACCGGCAGGGGCTAGGAATGCCAAGATGTCCTCCCACAATAAAGAATTGTCACGCGTGACTTTAGAATGTCCCACTGGACATTGACATAGTGAAAAACCTCTTTATAATTACCTGATCCCAAAACCTGACTGTTTTACATGTAAAACATTCAGGACTTAGTTTGAGGATTTTATTTTTTGCATGTTTTTATTATACATTGTCAGTTTTTATTTCAACATCCACCCATACTCTTTAACTTTCCTGGGTTTCTTGTACAGAATAGCTTCTGACCTTCTTTCTTCTTTTAAATACAAATGTATTCGTTAAAAGTAAAAGCGAGCATAAGCCTATGTCACATCTGCCGTATGATTGTGCCCAAACATGAACATATTGAAATTCATAGTACTTTCCCTTCATTTCTCCCTTACGATACAGCTGGGTTTTTTGTATGTTAAACTTGCTTTTCAGATTCATAAAGAAAGTGTTAGAATATAGTTACTAGAGGAAGAGAGCCTCTGTTCTCCAGCTCCCTCCAGCCCCGCCCGCAGATGGGGAGATAAGTGAGGAGCTGCCGCCACCTGGTGGCTGAAGTAGAAATGGCAGGTGGACCCTAGTGGAAGGAACTCTTCCTGCCCAGGCTCCCGGCTAACCCTCCCCAAACACAGCCTCCACTGCCACCTCCCTGGACCCCCCCCCGACTTCGGTGCTTGATGCTTCTTCAGGGGCTTCAGGGATCCAAGAGAGAGCCCTGTCTCAGAGGTAGGAGCCCTGAGTACTGGTCCCTGATCTGCCACTAACTTGCTGTGTGACCCTGGGCAAGGGCACTGCCCTCTCTGGGCCTTGATGTGTACTGTGAGGGGTGGCAGCACTGGTCTCTGAAGACCCTCGAGGCTTGCCATACTCGATCCTCTCAACCAGGAGCATCCAGGTTCTCCTGCAACCTGTCCTCTGTGCCTCCTCCCCTCAGAGTGACCTTAGTGGTGGGCAGGACAGCCCTTCTCTGGGGGCAGCAGGATAGGTGGCCTGGCTCCTAAGCTGCCATCCCAATCCTGAGTTCTTGTTAGGTTCTGATGAGCCCCTGACCCAGGTCTCCATGCCAACTGCCACTCCTGCCGTGAAGGTCGTGTCTGTGGTCACTCCAAAAACAGAACTCCTCTGCCACTAAGTGACCCCCTGCCAAACTCTGGCTCCCCAAGGGCTAGGGACTTCCTGAGGGCAGAGGCTGGCATCCTCCCTCAGAATGGGGGTCACCTGAAGGGGGGGCAGTCTCTCCCCTCCCCCCCCTACACTAGGGCTCCCTGACACGGGCTGTGTCAGACCCCAGAGAGGGCTTCCCAAGGGCGGACCTGTCTCCTTCTACAGGGTCTCCAAAGACCCCAGCACAAGGCCCCAAAGGCAGCATGGCCCCCAGTGCTCACACCTGACCCTCCCAGCCCCAGCCCCCTGCCCAGACACCGAGAGAAGGCGGCGAGGCAGCGAGGCTCTGAGGCACGTGTAGAATAAATATAACTTTATTCTTTACCCAGTAGATCTCAGTGGAAAGTCCAACAGTAACAGGTGCACCAGCGGGCTCTGGGAGGTGAGACCCCAACCCCAGGGCAAGGGGACAGGGCAGAGCCAGCTCCCCCAGCCCGGGGGTGTGGGGGGGATGGGGGGCCCCCTGTGGCCCGTCCTGCGGGGCAAGGAGGGGGCACGGGTGTGGGGTGGGGAGCAGGGGGCAGGCCAGGGAGATGGAGAAACTCAGGCCAAGTGTGTCTGTCGGCTCATCTGTCCGCTGTGTGTGTGTGTGTGTGTGTGTGTGTGTGTGTGTCGGGGGACCCCATGGGTGGTGCTGGTGGCTGTGAGGCTGGGGGGCAGGGGCAGCTCGGACCCCTCTGCCGGTGCCTTTACACTGGGGGCTGGAGGGCTTGATGACATGGGCCCTGACAGGGAGGAAGCTCTGCCCAGGACACGGGGCTGAGAGACACACGCAGGTATGTTCTGAGGGCCCCCTTGCTTTGCCCCGGCCCTGCCTCTCGCGGTGAGCCCCCTCCTTCTGGAGGCTGCCTGAAACTGTCCATACCCAGTGGTTAGGCAGAAGGAGAGGGCAGGCCTCGGAAAGTCAACACTTCACAGTTTTAAAGAGAAAACTGAGGAGAAAAAGGCTGGGGAGGAGGGCTAGGGGGGCACAGGGACATGGAGAGAGAGTGGGAGCCCCTTCTGAGCCGCTCCCTCCCCCAGGACCCACCCATCTCCAGCTCTGGATCCAGCTCCCCCCAATACACAGCACAGATTCCTTCAGTATAAATGTGCTTAAAATGAAAATTCTTATTAAAAAATCAAAACCAAAAAAAAAATTAAAATAAAAACAAAACCAGCGAGAATTAATACCTGGGGGCTGGTATGGCAGGGTATGTACAGGGGGAACCCCCCACCCCTGGCCCACCCCCTCTGTCACCAACCAAGGCAGGGGGGTTCCCCAACCGGGGGGCAATGGCTTGCGAGTTCGGAGGATGGGGGAGCCAGGTCCTGGCATTTGCTGGTGATGAAGATGTGGCGAGGTGGGCAGAGGGGTGTCTTGATGAACACAAGGCCCCCAGGCCCCATCCAGAGGCCCAGGACCAGGGGTCCTCACTCAGTTCACGGCCTTGCCCCTGAGGTCAGCCCAGGCTGCAGGAGCAGGCAGTCCATCGCAACCCGGACCTCTGTCCCAAGAGTCGCCGCCTCCTCCCTCCCATCCCCCAGGAAGGGAGGACAGGTAAGGGGCAGGGCTGGCGGGGGTCACACGGTTGGTAAAAAGGCAGAGAAAAGCCGGGGCGAGGGGCGAGGGCTGTGTCCACGGGGCGCGGGCATCACGGGGAGTGGGTGGGCGGGCTGCTTCTGTTTGAGCTGGGGCTGAGGCTGGGGCTACAGCTGCCGGGCGGGGGGGCCAGGCCGCCCCCATCCCGCCCCCCGCCCCCCGGCTGTCCGCTCAGAGTGTCCAGGCCCTCCGAGTTCTCCAGCATTTCCTGGATGAGAGGTGGCATGGAGCCCGGGATCTCCATCTTCAGCGTGATCACCCGCTCGGCCCCTGCAGGAAACGAGAGGCAGAGGTCACATGCCAGCCAACTCCCCCAGCCCCGCAAGCAACCGTGGCCCCAGGATGGCAAGTGAAGGGGGGGCTGGATCAATACTGCCCTTAGCAGCATCCCCTGTGCACTGAACTCGGGGCTCAGTTCTTTGACATAAGCCAGGTCTCGTGAGCCTCCAAGTCTGAGGGGCAGCGGGGCGAAATGGTTCCGAACTCGGGCTCTGGGATCAGACCGCCTGGGTTTGACACTGGGCCCCTCCTATGTGCTGTGTGCTATGGATTCTCCTATCGACACCTCAAATCAACTCTGTAAACACCATCATCATCCCCACTCCTCAGAGGGAAACCAAGGCTCAGAGCTATTAAGTGAGCTGCTCAAGGGCACACACCCACAGTCTGGCTCTAGAGCCATTCTCTGAAGTAGCACGCACAGGCAACACTGCCACCTCAGAGCTCACAGGCGGAAGGTCACCTGGGCACGGTGGGGTCCAGATGACTGGGGCCTCGTCCTGGGCACAAAGATGTAGGGTGTTGGCTCAGATGTGGGGGGACTGACCCTGGGCATGGACAGTGGGTCCTGGGGTCCTTGGGGCCCACCCCTGGCAGACACGCGGGACTTCCGTGCAGGTGTGGGAGCCTCACCCTTAGCACTGATGCTTCGCAAGTCCGTGATCTTCATGAGCATCTTGGGGAACATGTGGGGGCGGCTCGGCCTCCGTTTCCGCACGTAGACCTTCAGCGCCTCAAGCAGCGGCTCCTGCAGCATGTCCACCCTGTCTGGCTGCTCCAGGTCCTGCCGGTCTGAGGAAGCAGAGACGCCCCCTGAGCAGCTGCCCTGGCGAAGCGAGGAACACAGCTGCGCTCCCAACCTTGGCCACCGGGGGGCACACCTGCTCAGGCAAGGGGCTGAGCATCTCTGCTCCAAACAGGGCAGTGGAAGGAGTCCGTCTGCTGCAAGAAAGGCCCTAAGAGGCTCTTAAATGTAAGCAAAGGGGAGCTGGGGATGGGGGTTGCCCAAAGCCTGCTCTGACAGCCCAGTTCATGGTGGTGGGACCCCCGAACACAGGCAGGGCCGTCCTCAGGCAAAGGAAGGATGCCCAGGCAGGTCTCCCAATCCCACCCATTATTCTGGACACCAACACCATAGGGCAGGAAACATGACAATAACATAATAGCAGCAGCCAACATTTACTAGGTCTTACACTGGACACACTGTGCCCTATTTATTACCACCTTAATCCTCCCATCAACTTTATAAGGTGATGACCAGTATTGCCCCCATTTTACAGAAACAGGACTCAGAGATGTTCAGCAACGTGCCCAAGGCCACAAGCTGGCCAGGATTTGAACCTGGGTGGTCTGACCCTCAAGCCTTCACTCTTAAGCCCCCTAGAAGGAGCAATGCCCGGAAATAGGGAACCAGACGTCAGGTCTCCACCACCTCTCCCTGGCTGTGTGGCAGCAGACCAGACTTTGCCCCTCTGGGACTCAGTTTCCCCCCTGAGAGTTTCTCCCCTTTCTGATCTGATTATCCCTGAGCTTCTCCCTGGGAGAGACTCCGGGGGCTGCACCACCAGACCCAGACCCCTGCCCACCTCCACAGATGAGGCAGATGGCGCTGAGCAGCCCAGTCTCAGCATCATCCATCTCCAGGGGCAGAAGCTGGTTGGCGAAGGCGAAGACCAGGTCCGTGAGGGGGCCGAAGCCAGCGTTGTGCATCTGGGTCCGGTTGAGGGTCAGCCCGTCCGAGAAGGTCATTGTGTCCTGCTCGGGCGTGTACCGCGTGCAGATCCGCAGGATCTGGGTGCAGAGGATGCTCGAGTTCAGGGACTGAGGGCATCCCTCCAGCACTGCCAGCACAGCATCCCCGCAGGACCACCTGGCAGGCAGCCCGACCACTGCCATCCCACAGAACCTTCTGCAGTGATGGAAACATTCTCCACCTGCACCATCCAATATAGCAGCCACCAGCCACACTGCAGCCATTGGGCACTTGAAACATGGCTGGTGCAACTGAGGAACTGAATTTAGTTTAATTTTAATTAACTAAAATTTAAATAGCCACACATGGCGAGTGGCTACTATATTGGACAGTGCAGATCCAGAGCATCCTGCCTCCATGCAGAGAATTTAGAGGGAAACTAGTAGTGCCAGGAGGGAAGGATCATAGTGGATTTATGCCTACAGTTCCCAGGACTGGGTACACAGAGCTTAATAAATGTCTATCGTCTCCAACTGGGTCCAAACCCTGACACTGCTTCCTGCATCCACGGCACGGGGGTGGGAAGCTGCCCGGAGACAGCACACTCTGCACCTCCCACCCCACCCCCTACGAGGAAGCAGCAGCCTGGTCACACCCCAGGTTCCCCACCCTGGAGGTGGCAAAGGGGGAACAGATGGGCTGAACCCGTCAGGGATGACAGGGCTTTAGCAGTCCCACTGCCCCCCATCATACCTCCAGCCCAGCCCACCCCTGGCCTGCAGTTCCCTGAACCCAGCTGGTCCCACACCAGCAGGCCTTCCACGTCTTGCTCCTAAGTTAGGGACACCCTCTCACGTGCTCCTTCTACAAAATGGCCCCTAGGTGCCACCTCCCCTGGGACGTCTTCCCTGGGGCCCAGCAGTTGTGGCTCTCTTCTGCAGGGAGGGGACAGCCCTCCCCCATCTCTAGATAGCATTTATCACAGTTTTGCAACCTCTGTTTACATATCTGTTGCCTCCACCAACAGAAGGTTTTCGAGAAAGGGGACAGTATTGTTTACCTCTGTTCCTGACAGCCAGCTCAAGGCCTGGCCTTACAAGGTCCTGAGTGAATCTTTATTACAGACATACACGGGAAAATGGTTGGCTGGATGGAAAGCTCAATGGAAAGACAGGGTGAGGGTGGATGGATGTGTGTACAGGTGAATGGGTGAACCAGTGCACATCCAGGTGCTGAGTGGCTAAGTGGATAGGTAGACAGGTAGATGAGTAGACAGGTGGACAGAGAAGGGAGAAGGGTGGATATGCGGGTGGGTGGGCATCTGGGCAGGTCGATTCCAGATGGATGTTTAGGAAGGCAGTTGAGTGGCAGGACATCCTCCAAGGACATGGAGGCAGTGCCCAGGTGGGCAGGGTGCAGACCCTCACCAGGATGTCCAGGCAGGCAGCCTTGAGGAGGGTGATCTGGTCGGCAATGGTGAGGGTGGTGAAGCCAGGCAGTTGCTTGGCGAACTCCACAGTCTTAATGATGCACTTGGTGGAGAGTTCACTGAACTTGTCCCAGAGGTCAATGTCCAGAGAGACACGCTGTTCCGAGCTGTTGTTCTGGGAGGACGGGGGAGAGTGAGGGCCTTCTCCTCACGGCACCCTTCTCGGCCTGGCTCCACCGCCCCCACAGGCCCGCCTCACTTCCTGAGAGCTCCTTGAGAGCAGGCACAGAAGGAGGGAGAAGAGGGGGAGGAGGAGAACGGAGGCCCAGGCAGGGCTGAGGACGGGCAAGCCTGGCAGAAGGGGTGCCCACAAGAGGCCCGTCCTGGGCCCCGTGGCACTGGGTGCACCCACCCCGCCAGGCCGGGAGCAGCCGTACCGTAGTGTATTTGCCCAGCTGGCAGAGGGCAGGGAAGGTCTCCTGGTGCGCTTTGCGCACCTTCTCGATGAGCTCCCCCACCTCTGGCGTCAGCGTGTAGCTCTCAGAGCACTCGGGCTTGGGCGCCTCCTTCTTCTTCTTGTTCCGGTCGTTCCTCACAGCTGTGGAGGGCACAGGCCTGGCCATTAGAGGGCAGGTGCGGGCATCAGCCCATCTCCACCCAAGCTCCTCCCATCAGACAGAGAGCTGCTGGCCACAGAGGTCACCCGGCAGAGGCACACACACGCAACTGTGCACACACACAAACGCACACATATGAGTGCACAGGCAGGCAAGGTGTCAACACACGGTCCATCCCTCCATGCCCACCTGACCCACAGGCCAAGTCCTGCCCAGGGCCCCCCAAGCACAGCACACGCGCCCCTCGGCCAGCCCGCTGTGCCCCACACTCCCACGCATCGACTCCGGCCCACGCTCCGGGTGGGAAAGTGTCCTGGGCTGGAAGCAAGTGTGCAGTGTTCCATCTGCGTGCTCTGCCTCCCCTGGCCCCCACTCCCTCTGCTTCCAGGAAGGACCCGCTCCTGCCTCCACTGGCCTCCAGCCCTCCTGGCAGCCGTGTCCCTGGGGGTCCCTGCGACTGGCTCCAAGCAGCTCCTCCAGCAGGCAAAAAGTAGGGTTCCCCAGCCGGATAGCGGGGGGCCGGGCAGGAGAATCTCTCGGCCCATTAGCCGGGGAGCTGACAAATCACCGGGGGCGCTGAGCCGCACACACCACTCGGCTTTAAAGAAGCGATGGGGTCGTTACCAGCCGATTATCCCAGACACACAATCACTCACAGGGCCAGTGGTGGTGGCTGCTGACGCTGGAGGAAGAGAGGGTGGGGGTGGGGGGCCCGGGGAGGGGGCAGCGGGTTGGGGGGCGCTGGCATAATTTGGAGATCACTCATGTCGATTCTGCAAATTCAATAAAGTGCAAGGGAGAGAAGAGAGAGGGAGAGTGGGGGGATAATTTGGGAAGAGAAAATTGCAGCTGTGACAAGACGTTTATCATTCGGAAGCTTTAATTCTATTGAAATGGCAGCTGCTCAGCTCGGGGGCACAGAGCAGCCAGAGAGGAGGAGGGAGGGAAAGGGGGAGTTGGTGGTGGGAGGGAGAGGGGGTCTCCACCCTGGTCCTTCTGCACTGGAAAGCTCTGGGAGCGGAAGGTGGCAGAAGCAGAGGGAGGAGGAAGTGCTGGGCCCCCATGGGAAGGGTCCCAGGCCTGCGGGTCCCAAGCTGTCACCCACTCAGCAGCGTGGAGCCACCACTTCCTGGGCTCCAGACACGGCAGCCCGTGTCTCCTGTGGCAGAAGGTGGCAGGGTGCTGCAGGGCCCCTCCTCTCCTGTCTGGGGCTCCTCACATCCCCCCTACATCCCCTCTCCACTTCCCTCTTCTACTGCCCTCCCCACAAAAGGCTAGAGGGTCCTGCAGCCCCCTCCCCCACCCCATCCCCCAAGGCCCAGGCTCCATGGCAACGGCCACGCAGACAAGGAGGCGTCTGTCAGCGTCATTTATCTCTGACATCATCAATCACCAGTCACCACGGCAACACCCATGATTCAACACAAGAGGGTCTCCCCGTCCATCCCTCCCTCCCTCTCTCCCTCCACTGGGCCTCAGCTGAGCCCAAACTGGAAACCCTGTTCCTCTGGGATCTGAGAAGTCCCAATTCTCTCTTCCAACTCCAGGTCCCAGGCTTCACCAGACAATGGCTTTTAGATCCCTGTGCCAGCCGCAACCCCACACAGACAGAAACACCAACCAGCACCCCTCAGCACGGGCCCTTACCCAAGATGCACAATCTGGGGGGACTCAGGTATGCCTCTGAGCCCCGCCCCAAAGCCAAGCAGGGCCTGGAAGCCAGCTGGCCAGGAGCAGACAGACACGCACACACGTGGGAGCACACACAGCCAGCCACGCACAAATGGGAAGAGCTGTCCACACACGGACATACAGCTGGCTAGATGCACAGACAGGTCGTGAGCCCGCTCACCACCCCGCGGGCGTGCAAGTGCACATCCACACACACCCACGCCCCTGCTCCACGGCCGTCCCACCCCGCAAGGCCAGCCCTCAGCCCCGTGGCACTCACACTCCCTGGACATGCCCACTTCCAGGCACTTCTGCAGCCGGCAGTACTGGCAGCGGTTCCGGGTCACCTTGTTGATGATGCAGCTCTTGTCCCGGTGACATGTGTACACCATGTTCTTCTGGATGCTGCGGCGGAAGAAGCCCTGGGTGTGGACGGAAGGGGTCAGGTCAGCCGCACCCACAGCAGGAGCAGTGCAGCCTGTGGCCCCAGCCCAGGGCAGACGGCCAGGCCAGCTGCTGCCCCCAAGCCTGTGGCCATCACCTACCTGAGCAGGCCAGATAAGGCGGGGAGAATGGTTCACCCACAAGGATACCCCCAAGAGAATTCCAGCACCTGCAACACTGCAGGTGGCAGGGGTCTTCCCTCAACCCCTACCCACACACCAGGCTTCCTCCCTCCTGGGGAAAAGGACCTCAGGGCTGCTGGAGAGTCAGGAAAAGGGGGACAAGGGGCCAAATGGGAGATGACAGAGCTCTGGAACCCACAGCCCTGGGCTCAGAGCACAGGAAGAGAAGGCAAGCAGGAAGAGGCCACAGAGGGACAGAGGCAGGCCGGCCAGAGAGATGGAAACGCACACACGCTCAGGAGCAAGGCAGCAGGTTCACATTCACCAACCAGGCAGACGTGCACGGACTAATCACAGGGAGACCCGGGCTGGTCAAGGGCTGCACACACGGGCTAACCAGCGAGACAGACAGACAGACCAGGGACAAACGGGAACAACCAGACAGGGCAGGCAGACACACACAGTCCAAGGCCTTGTGCTATGCCCTTGATCTCTGCCTCACACCTGGGGACAGCCACTCCACGCTATCCCAAGCATGTGCCCCAAGCCCCAAAGCTGTGCAGCTTCTGAGCCCCAATCTCTGAGGAAGAAACAGGTACAGAGGCTTGGGCTCCAGGGAGAGGAGGAGGAGAGGCCGTGCCCACAGCTGCGGGGAGGGTGGCAGCCACATCTGCACCCTGGAGCCTAACGTGCACACAGGTAAATCTAGCCAGCCACTGAGCAGCCCACAGCCTGGGGACCTGAAGGAGAGGCCAAGGCAGGGCGCCTGCTCCTGACTGCCTCCTGCCAGGCTGCCATGGCGAGGTTCAGGCAGGGCTGCAGGGGGCAGGCCTCGTGGGTCCCCAGCCAAGAGCCAGTTGGCAGCCAGCTCACCATGGCAACCTGGGCAGCGGCAGCAGAGTGGGTGTACGCCCTGCCAGCTGGAGGATGGAGACAGGGAAAGGAGCTTGGGCAGGAGAGGGACCTCTGGTTTGGGGGACCCCTGCTCATCTATGGGGGGTTTCTGCACGCCTCCTCTCCTCCAAGGCTGTTGCCACCTTCTGCATAGAAGAGCAGCAGCTTCAGGGACATCCCTCCACCAATGGCATACTCCCAGGGCATGGCAGTGGGGACATCCCATTTATCTAATCAGGACTGTCCTTCCCAATGACCCTCTCAACTCACCTTGCAGCCCTCACAGGCGCTGACCCCATAGTGGTAGCCTGAGGATTTGTCTTGACAGACAAAGCAAGGCTTATAGATGCGGGGCAGTGGGGGCGGCGAGGGAGGGCTGGGCACTATCTCTTCGGAACTGCTGCTCTGGGTCTCGATGGCTAGAGAGAAAAGAGGGAGGGGCGGTTAGAGACCCAGGTCGCCATCCTTAATACCGTGCCCACCCTGCCTCAGAGTCTCTCCCAGGAGCCTGGTCCAGCCTCACCACGGCTGCCAGGATTCAAACTCTGGGGCAGGGACACAGTCTCAGGACAGCAGGGGAATGAGGCTGCCAATGAAGCCGCCAGCACTCCATCACTCCTGGCTACTTCCCCAGGACCCCACCTTCAAAACCAGAAAGATCAGATGAATAAACTATCAGATTTGTCTATGGACATGGCTACACTGGGCAGTGGGGGCGGGAGTCAACCCGGTTCTAAAGCCCTGGCCCCTGGGCAGCCCAGCTCAATCTCCCCAAGTTAGGAAGGAGTTAAGGCCTGATGAGGAGGGAGGGAAGAGGACACAAGCTGGGGGCAGAGGAAACTGGGGTCAACAGGATATTCAAAGCCAGCCACTCCCCTACCCCCTCTGCTTCCGCTCCCCTCTCTACCCCCCCACCCGCCTCTGCCAGCAGCCACAGCCCCTCCTCCACCCAAACAATCCCCTGGCCAGGGACCCAAGGCAGGGTGTACAACGACTCCCAAATGTTGGGGCCAAGAGGCGGGGACTCCCTGAGATAAGCACGGGGACTCCCTAGAGACAGGGAAAAGAGTCCCTGTGGGCCCCGGAAGCCCACTGCTCTGGGTGCCCCGTCTGGGGGAAAGCAGCATGACAAAGGGGGTCTGTTCCCATCAATGCTCTGTCTGTCTGGCCTCAATACTACGTCCGGGTTACTACCCCCTCCCCTCCCGTTATTCAGCTCCAAGAGGGCAGCCAGGAGGGGTGACCCAGCCGGTAGGGGCAGCCCCCACTAGCCAAATCCTCCCCAGTGCCTGGCCCCATGCCGACCACCCCAGGCAGAACACAGCTGGGCTGGGTGGGGGCTGTCTGTGCCTAAAGCCGGGGCAGCTGGGGGTGTACCATGCTGGATGAGAACAATGACCAAGGCAACCCGTTTCCCAAGGGGCCACCCGACATCCTCCTAAGACCCCTGCCAAGTCCACCTGTCCAGGACCAAGGAGGGACAAGGATGCCTCCCTAAGTAGGTAGATCCCTACCTCCTCCCACACCCCAGGATCCTACCTAGTCTTACCCCAAACCCCAGCACACGAGGTAGTGTAATGCAAAGAGGCCCAAAGCTCCTGGCCCAAGCACCTTATAGCCATGAGTCACGTGGCCCCAAAATCCAGGCATGGAGAAAAGAAGTGCCTGGACACTGGGGGCTGGCTGCATGTTACCACCCTCCCCCCCTTACATGCAGACAAACCAGGGACTGCCAGGCGGTTGATGATGGGGAACCAGGCCAACGACCTTGGCAGGGCCTTCTTGGCTCTTAGTAGGGTCTGGGCACCACTTCCCTGGTCAGCCTGGCTGACCAGCACTGCTGTGGCCCCATGTCCCCGTCCCTGCCCAGAGACCAGCCTGCAGCAAAGGAACAGTAGATGCCCACACCCCCACCAGGCCCACAGACCCTTCACTGACCTCCCCCAGCCCTCTGCTCCTCACCCAACACCGAACTGCCCTGGCCTGGTTTTCCCCCACCTCACTCTCCCCAGGCCAGACAAGCAAATCAGACAGGCTAGAGGCCTGAGAACAGCTGCTGGGGGGTGGGGTGGGGGGCCTGGGTGAGGCCAGGAGGCAGAGGGGTGAGCCACAAAGGAGTCCTTTGTTGTGCTAACTTTTTCCAAGACGTAAAAGGAGTAACAATAGACAATCCAGACTGGGGGTGGGGAGGGGGTGTCAAGGACAAGGGGGCGTAGGGGGGACCGTGGCCTAGAATCCCAGTCAGCGTCCCAACAGGCAGAGGATGAAGGCCCTGACCTCCCCTGCCCTTCCCTCCCCACCCAGCCTTTGCCCAGGGCCCGCCTGCCCCAAGGCCCCACCTCCAAAATGGACCAGACAGGAGGGGAGAAAGCGCGGAGGGAGCTCTGGGGTACAGAGTCTGGTGGAGGGAGGGGAGGCGGGACGGTGAGATACACCGGATACTGGGATGAGGGACAGGCAGCTTTAAGGTCAGGAACTGACTGGAGGGGCAAAGGCCCATAGAAATTTGGAGCTAAGGCAAAGTCCAGAGGGCGTTTATGGAACTGAGAGAACGTGCTTTTTAAAATCATTTTTTGGCAGGATGGGGAGATGACTCGAAGTGGGGGCTACAGTTTGGGCTGGGTGAGGCTTCCTTTTGGCCCACTCCAAGCAGCTGGCTGCCTTTGAGACTGTAACACCCTCTGCACTCCCACCCCCACCCCATCCTCACCTGTCACCCAGGTAACAGCTTTGAGGTTTCCCAATGTGCCCTTTGAACCCAGAGCCCTGGCCCAGTCCTCACCTTCCCAGGCCTCCAGCCAGCAACCAGGGAAGCGTGGGGCACTCTGGGACCCTCACAGCCTCGCCAAGAGTTAGGACACAGCTTTAACTCTGCACACCCCACCTAAGGGGGAAGGACTGCCATGTCCAGGCCCCTCCCCGCTCACCTCCCTCCCCAGAGGCCTCAGCCCACAAATCTCTCCTCTTCCTGCAGAAGGACGAGGCTGGAGAAGCACCACACCTTCTCAGCTCAAAGGTCCAGCGCCCAGCGGAGGGCTGGAACCGGCTCAGGAAGCCAGGAGTCCCCTCTGCCAAGGTGCCCCTCCCCCGCTCCCCCTCGGGGCGGGCAGGAGGCCGCAGAGCGCTCCGGATTCCCCACGCCCCAGAGCCGTTCGCAGGCTCGCACAAGGGGCCGGTTTCCTGGAGGAGATCAGCAGGAAATCACCCGGGCCCCCGGCCAGCGGCTCCCCTCCCAATCCAGCTGGCGCCCGCTCCTCCGCAGCTCCCCTCGCAGTCCCTGGGGAGGGTTGGGGAGGGGGCGCAGGGCCCTCGGTGCCGCCCTTCCTCCTCCCCGGGTGAGGGTGGGGGTGGCGCTAGGGGTAGAACGGCGGAAGAAGGCCCCTAGCCCAGCAGCCGCCGATAAGCATCTCTCCCCATCCCCCCACTCCGGGCATCCACGTGCTTCACATTCTTGGACGTCTGGGAGCGGGCGGAGGCGTGAGCGGCAAGACTGGTGGGGGACAGACGGGGAGCCACATCCTGTGTACCCCTTGTCCTCTAGTGCCCCGAAGCGGGGCTCGGGGAGGGAGAGGCAAGGTCCCCAGGGCCCTGCAGGATCGAGGTCTCTTCCCCCAGCCAATCTGCTGTCTCTTCTCACCTTTCGTGGAGGTGGCAGGAGGGAGTGAGAACTGGGTGGCTGAGGGGGCTGGAGGGCTCCTGTCACCAGAGGACCTCCACACACACCAAGGGGTTCTTCCAATGCAGTGGTAGTGACCCTGGGTACTCTAGACAGGGTCAAGTCACCACCCCCAGCCTCCAGGTCCTCCTGTGCCTCAGAACAATCCCCACACCCACCCCTCCCAGCCCACAGCCTTGGGGCTGTGCCCACTCCTACCCTACCATCATATACCCACCTACACGCGGACTACAGGCACTGGGGAGCCCAGGCCTCTCACTCTCCCCCAACCCAGACAGGGTGTAGGGAACAGGCCTCCACTTCCCCACGGCCTGTGGGCTCCACTCTCCTCCTCCCCCTCCAGTTTGGGGCCAGGAAGAGCTGAGCCTCCCCCACCAGCGAAGGAAGAGTCGGGCTGGAGTCCAGGGTCTCAGATCCCAGCTTCCCCCCAACCCTCTGGCGAAGGCAGCGAAGGCAGTGGAGGGGGTGACTCTGGCAGCTGTGCCCCAATTATCCCACATGGGGGGACATGTTCCTCCAGCCCTGGGAGGATGGGAAGGAGGGTCCTGGTGTCACACCTCTCACCTCTCCCTTTTTGCCCAAGTCAACTGACACTCACACCCCCTCTCCCACCGTCTGCAGCCGGCAGCCTCCCACCTCCCAGCCGATCTGCCCCAGAGGCAAAGGTCGGGGACAGGACAATAGGAAAGGCTGGGAGTGAGGTGGCTCTAAGAGGGGCAGAGGTGGGTCTCTCCACCTCAGGTCTCTTCCTAGAGCAAAGGGGGTGGGGGGGTGCCCTTCACCCTTCTCCAATCTGCCAGGCCCCAGAGACCCACTCCACCCCTGCTCCCTGGCAGGCAGGAGGCAGGCAGCCAGTCAGGGAGGGTGGGAGAAGCTCCAGGGAGGAGCTGAGCAGGTAGAGGAAGAAACCTGAGCCCTGTAACAATAACTCCCTAGGGCAGCTCTCTCCCACCCAGGTACACCACTGCACAGCCGGAATGAACACACCCAGGTGTGCAGCCCAGGTGCTCACAGTTCCAGCTGATGCAGAGCCCCTCTTTCTGAGGAGCCCGAACCCAGACAGGAGACAGCAAGCGAGGAGAGGTGAGCAGGCTGCCAGGACTCCAGGGTTCTCATCAGCGCCCCTCTTAGGAAGGGACAGCCCAGTGCCTGCCCCTATCTCCCAGTGAAAACAAGGTAACAAAAGGACACGGCTGGGCTGGGAAGGGATGCGTGCCTCATTTCCAGAGTAGCCCCAGACCCACAAAAAACAAACTCATCCCCCAGAGAACAAACTGGATTAGAACTAGGGGGAGGGGGATTCTTCCCACCAGAGCAGCTTCTCCCCTCCATTCCTGGGGCAGAAGCCTCAAAAACGCCAGCCAATGTCTAGGGCCAGGACAACCCTCAGATGGACAAGTGCCTCTCCCCAACATGTAAGGGTCGGTTAGGATGGCAGACGGGTGTCTGATGAAGTTGCCCCTTCCTGCCACACCCCACTGCCAACACCAAAGACACTGAGCCCTCCCCTGACACTCACTCTAATGACACAAGGGCAAGGGCTGGGGGCAGCAGCTGTAGCACAGGAGGGGGTTCTCCCCCAGGGTTTGGCAGGGGTGGGGTCAGAGGAGGAGGCCCCTCCTCCTCGGAGCAGACAAGCCCACATATAGGACCTTTACCCCACCCTCCAGGGTGGGAGAAAGGACTTCTCTGCTATGAAGCTACTGGATTCCAAGCATGAAGATAAAAACTAGAGGCAAAGGGCTTCCTTCCCCTTGCAAGACGTGGAAGGAGAGGAGAACAAATGTTTCCTGTAGGGAGGAACCCCCAAAAGTTCCTCAGCCCTAATATAACACGAACAGCGCCCAGGGTTACTCGAGAGAGTCCAGTTGTCCAGCAAGGGCACCCGAGTTTCAGCCAGAGAGACGAGGGAAAGTGGAGGGTAGAGACCAGACCCCCGCCACACCCCGAGGACCGCATCTCGCGGTAGGAATGGAAGCCCTACCGCCCACCCCCCCACCCCCACAACAGGAGAGGGGAGGCCGGTACCTACAGTGGTTTGAGCCATTCCAAAGCGGAGTCCGGAGCGGGGTGGAGTAGGGACCGGGGGCGGGGAGCCCCTTCTCCGGGAGCAAACAGGCCCGGTTCTGGTTATAAAAATCCACCACCAGGAAGGGATTGGGGGTGGGGGTGAGCCCCCCCACTTCCACACTCTCGTACATCGTCCCCGCAGAGACAAGAGGTCCGGGCGGGGACGTCCTGCGCGCCGCCTCCCTCACTCAGCCGGCGGCGCCATCCGAGGAGAGCAGCTGGGGGCGAGGGGCACGTCCCCTCGCCCCGACTGGCGACCCGGGCAGGGTGCCGCCCTCTGCCCGAAGTCCCGCGTCTAAGTCGGCCGGCCGCTCCGCCAGTCCCAGGTGAAACGCGGGGAAGTTGTGCGTGCCGGGAGCGGGGTCCTTCGGCTCCCCCGGGAACGCCCGGCCGAGGCCCGGGAGCTCAGCCGCTTCACCTCGAGGGGGCTCCCGTCTCGAGTCTCATGGTGTCCGAGGCAGAGTTCGCGGCTCCCCAAGTGCGCCGGCCCCGGGCGGGATCGGCGCGGGGCAGAGGGTCACCGAGCACTTCCTCCTCCCCGCCGGGGCTCCCGGGCTTCTCCGGGCGAGGATTCCGGTGGGGGTGGGGACCGTGCGGCTGCGGCTCCGCCTCCGCCAGGCCCGGGGCGGCCGGCCGTCGCTGGGTCTCCGGCGCGCACCGCCGCGGCGCCCCCAGCCCGCGCGCCCCCCTCCCCTGTAATCCCACCCCCTTTCCTCCGCCCCGTCCCGTCCAGGCGCCGCCCCTGGTTTAACCCCTTCCCGGCGGGTCTGGCTGCAGCGGACGAAATGCAGGGAACTGAGAGCGAGAGGCGGGATGAGGATAGGCGAGTGGGGGGAGCCTGGGAAGGGGGAGGAGAGAAGAGGGGACGGAAGCGCAGAGAGGCTCAAGAGGAGGAGTACGCTGAGTACAGAGGGAGGCCCGGTGCGGGGAGAGGAGGGGGCTGCGCGCGGAGGCGAGGACGGAAGAGGGGCGGGCGTGTCCCCCACCCCAGTTCCGGCGGCCGGCCTCCCCCGTGATTTGGTCAGTCCCCGGCCGGGCGATGCCACGGCGGGGGAGGTGGTGAAGCGGGTGGTCCCGGTGTCCTCCCCCTAACACCCCCCCAACCCAGCCCCGGCCTCATTTGCCTAATACAATGCGGCTGAACTCTCGCTGAACTCGCCTGGCGGCGCCTCACCTCCGGCTGACCCACCCACCGCTGCCCGTGACATCACCCGCTCGCCAGCCCGCCAGCGGGGCTCGCCCGCAGGCCCCCTGCCCGACTGGGCCGGGCCAGCTCCCCCAGGGACGCGGCGAGTGGCCGCAGGACGCGAAGGGCCACGGTGCGTGTGGCCAAGGGTTGGCGCCACGAACGTGGCGTGCCGGGTGTCCCGGGTGTGACATTGTGCAGCTCGGGTGCTGTGTCGGAATGAGACACCCGGCTTGTGTCATTGTCTGTGACATCATGTGTGACTCCGGCCGCCCGCCCACCCGCCGCCAGAACCCAACGCGGCAGCGCGGGTGCTTTGGCACCGACGCGGCGCGTGCAGAGGGGGCTCTCCCCCCACGCTCTACGTGCTTCCGGCGAGCAAAGCCCCGCCCAGGGTGTCTCCCGGCCGCGGAACCTGGATCGGCCCCCGCCGCAGAGCCCAGCCCCGGAGAGATAAGAGGAGGGGCTGGCGCCTTCCAGCTGACCACTTACTCCCTGAAGCCCTCTTTCATTGGAAGAAAGGGCCAGGCTGGGTAGGTCCGTTAAAGAGGGGATGCCGGAGGACAGGGTATCCTGTTACTCCCTCTGACCCTGCTGCGGAGCTCCCTCCCTCTAAAAAGGGATGGGAATTTACATGCCTCCCAAGGATATTCTAGAAGCCAGGCTCTTTACAAACGTTGTCATTTAATCCTCACAGCGACTCCAAGAGCTAAGTGGGCATTATTCCTATTTTGCAAATAAAGAAACGGAGGTTTCAGCAAGGCTAGATGGGTTGTCCAAGATCACACTGCTAATTAAGGGTGAAGTAAGTATTTGAATTTTCTGTGGCCAAAGCCCGTACTCCCACCATGCCAGGCAGATTCAAGAAAAACTATTCTGAGCACCTACTACAGAGAGACCCTGGTGAGCCTGCCCTTGCAGACCTTATGCAGCAACAGCCATTAAGCAAATAATCACAAATATATATAATTGCAAACTGAGATAACTGGTATTATGACACAAGTGTAGTGTGCTTTGAAGGAGAATTAATGTAGGTACCTAATTCAGGTTGAAGGGTCTGGGAAGACCTCAAAGCAGAGACCTAAAGAAAGAGCAGAAGTTTAGAAGTTAGGCAAAGAGTAGGAAGGAGTGCAGTCTCAGTAACAGAAAGAGCCTGTGCAAAGGTCCTAGGGTTACAGAAGTGGGTGAGTTCATCGAAGGAACTGACAGGGCTAGTGTGGATGGAGCATAAAACTCAAGAGGAAAAGGGGCACAAGCCCAGGCTGGAGAGGGGCTGAGGCCAGACCAGGTGGGCTTGTTAGCCTCAATCAAACTTTGGATTTTATCCTAAATGCAAGAAGCCACAGAAAGGTTCTAAGCAGAGGACAGGCAAGATCTGATTTACAGTGTTATAAGATCTTTCTGTCAGCTGTGTGAAGAATGGATGGTGAGAAGGCAAGGGAGACCACTTAGAAGTTACTGCACCAGTCCAGCCAGCACACAGTGGGAGTGCAGCCTAGGAAATGCAGTGCTGACGACAGAGGAAGGTGGATTCACAGAGACATTTTGAAAGCAGAATCAATGGAGGAGGGGGTGTGGGGGGGGAGCAAAGAGGACTCTGGTATGTGGCTTGTGCAACAGCAAAGTTCCCGAGACTTTGAAGTAGAGAAGTCTCCTGGGCTGGTGGAAGGTGAGTGTGGGGCTCCTCAGTGAGGTCTCGCCTGAGTGAGGTCTGGGCTGCAGGTGGAATGCTGGGGTCTGGGGCACGTCCGCAGGCCTTGGCAGTGCATAAGATTGCTGGGGAAGAGGGCAGACAGCTTCTACGGCCCTTGGTATCTGTCCTCCCAAATGACATTAGCTCCTGGGCACCAGTTATGTGGTAGGCTCTGTGTTCACAGCTTCGAGGTACTAAAGATCTGAGACTGTCCCTGCCATCAAAGACCTGGTGATTGGGAAATGATCTTCCAAATGATTACAGCTCACGGCAGGAACTAGGTGGGGAGAAATCACTGCGTGGTAAAGAGATGAGTGTTGTAAGAGAAAAAATAAGGACCCACAGACATTCAAAGGAGGGAGCAAGAGTATGGCAAGGAAAGGGGAACATCTGTGAAGGTTTCTGGGAAGAGATGGCATTCAAGATTTTCCTTAAAGGATGGATGGGATTTCCGGAGCTGGGGAAGGGGAGAAGTTGGGGTGAGATGCCTGTTCTGGACAACAGCAAGGTTGTCGGGCAGGTCAGAGCAGAACAGTGTCCTGGGGCAGCGGGAGAAGATGAGAAAAAGGAAGGCGCTGGGGGTGGGGGGACTCTGGTGGCCACTGTCTGCAGGCCTGGGGCCCCGTCCTCCTCTGCCGCATACCCCACAGCTCCACCAGGGCTGTGTGCTTAGCAGGCCCTTAGCAGGCCCTCAGCAGGTGTGGGCTGAACCGAACTGGCCTCCACTTGTGCCAGACAGGGCTCCCTCCTGTCCCCAACCCCATCTGGAGGGGACAACAAACAGGAAATCATGAGGCCCAGAGCCAGATGGACTTCAGGTCCCAGTACAGTGGCCATCCCCCAAGACAGTGCTCACTCCACCTGCCCCTCATCCTCACTGCTTTCGCAGGGTACTTGAAGCTCACCCAGGGCCTCACCAGCAAGCAGGTCACCATGGCCTCATAGCAACTCGCCCAGCTGGGGACGGATGAGGAGTCTTGCTTTAAAGAAGAGGAAACAGACTCAGAGATAGGCTGGATGACCTGCCCAAGGCCGCACAGGAAGAGCTCTCCTTTAAGACTTCTGCCCACAGGGGGCCTTAGTCTGTGGGCTGGCTGAGGTTCCCAGCAACCCAGACATCAAAACAGGGAGGGGAAGGGCCTGGGCCTCTATTTCTTATCTAGCCAGGGCTGGGGTCCTCCAGTCTACCCTGGAGACCCAGCTCCACAGGCTATACCCCAACTCCATGGAGGAAGGGAGGAGGAAGGTGGCGTGGACACCACCCCCAAGAGATTTGGAAAAGGGAAACACTTCCTCTTTCCACAGAAGCTACCCCCCAAAGGGTAGTCAGGGCCTGCACTGGCACATCCCCATGGGCACATGGCCCTTGGCATGGGGTGGACACAATGTCTCAGGTTCTGGCCAGCCTAGGGGGACAGGCTTCCTTCCCTGAGTCCCCTCCCCCACATGCTGGGATCTTGCCCTGGGGGGAGCTGTGCATTATCAGTGCTGTGAGATGAAAGGTGAGTGGCCCCATTTTCATTCAAAACCCCATCCCGAAGTCTTTTGGCTGACTCTGCATTTTGGACCCCAGGAAAGGCACTGCTAGCAGTACCCCCTCCCCCTGGGCTGTCCCTCCTATTATCCAGGGAAAGAGTGGGCAGAAGAGAAGGGGGCACACACAGCGAATATGTGGAAGGAAAGGAAAAGTCTAGAGCCTGTCTTGGGGCTCCCATGCCCGGGCAGATACAGACCCCAAAGGGGAGGGAATGGCAGAGGAGAAGAGGAGAAAGGCACACCCTCTCCTCTGTCTCCCCAGGCTCCCCCAGGCCCTAGAGCCATGCCCTAGTCTCCAGGCACACACAGCGAGCGAATATGTGGACAGAAAGGAAAAGTCTAGAGCCTGTCTTTTGGGGTTCCCATGCCCGGCTCCTCTACTGATTGCTTCCAACTTTCCTGCCCCCACTGCACACATTGAAACAAAGTAAGAATAAGAACTGTGATTTTTACACTCTGTTCCTACAGTGTCTGTCTGGAGCTGGCGGGGAGGGTGCCCGCTGAGCTCTGCAAACTCCCCGGCTGCAGTGGGCAGGTTCAGGGGTGGGGATGGGTGTGAACAGATTGTTTCCGCAGCTTCCAGGACAGGATGGAGATGTGGCCCAGGCCTCTGAACACTCTTTCCCTCCAGCCTTCAGGATCCAAAACAGAGAGGAGGGGGCGTGGGGGGGGGGGGGCTTCCCTACGCCCCCTACTGGGCAACGGCTGAAGGTCCTAAAGCAGAAGCAGGGCCTCAGCCATGGAGGAAGGGGTTTCACCATCGGCTCTGACCCACCCCCAAGGCTCCCTCACCCAGGAGTGCCCCCCACAATACCCTCCCGCAGCTGCCTATCTGGATGGTGGAAAACAGCCCAGCTTTACAGTTACTCAGCCCAGTCACTTAACCTCCACCAGTGCTGTTTCCTCATGAGTAAATGGGGATAATGTCCCTCTCCCAGCATTGCAGGGATTAAGAACTGTAACACAGAGTTAAAGTCCAGGCACACAGTAGGCACTCCACAAATGTCATCACCCCTTTCTCTCCACCTCCAACCTAGAAAGGGCCTGGGTCCCTCTTCCCTGTCGTAATAGCCGAGTGACACAGCAGTGATCACATGCGAGTCGCAGAGCTGAGCGCATTACGTTGATATCTTGCCTAATCTCAGCGCTTTGAGGGAGGTTCTGGTAATACCCCTGCTTTCCCGACAAGGAAACATGCTCAGAGAGGGTATCGCACGTAACAAATGGCAAAGCCAGAACCCAAGCTACATGGCCTACTCCACAGCCCCCCACCCC